ATTAGCTCTAATACATTCAGTGAGTAGTGGAGTGAATGTTTATTCTATGTGATAATTATTTAAATGTTTTATTTTAAATACTTCCTTGTAGTTAAATTTGCACAGTATCTAATTAACAATTAGATAATACATTATACATACATACATACATACATACATACATACATACATACATACATACAGAGTAATTTTTTATTTAGTCAATATTAAAATTGTTAATCAGGATTTGTATACATTTTTTCATTACTCATATTATTTGATTGAATAAGACTATTGACAGAAAGGGGATTTTGAGTTGACTAGAACAATAAACTGAATGATACAGTATCAGGGTCAGTGGTGGGTTTCAAATAATTACACCACATACATCTGTATGGAACACCTGGCTTTGAATGGTCTATGATTAAAGCAGAACATTCATGTGGTCAAGGTACAGACATAAAAGACAGAGAAGATACAGTTTGAAGGGGGGATAAGAATAGGGAAAAGCCAAGGACATCAACCAGGATCTCTGAGGGAGGGAAGGGCAGTGCAAAAGTCAAGAATGAGTGAGCCAGTGGGATATGCCCCCTTGAGATCTGATTTAGCTTGTTCATAGATTAACTGTAACTGTAAATGGCTGTAAATTAAAGGAAGTATCATTTGCCTGTGGCTCCTGTCTGTGAGCAGATCTTGTTTTACAGCCCAGGACTTTAAATTGCTGCAATCTGCAGTATCCACTCCAAGCATGGTAAAGCCGGATCCCTCTGCATTCTAAGGAGTTAGGAATATTGAAACCGAAAAGGAGAGAGCCCGGGAAAACAAAAATAGATGGGAGCCTCTGGGGACCTTCTTAAAGTTTATGACCTTGCTTGATTAGAGAAATTGGTATCCTTTTTTTTTTTCCTTAGGGAAACTTGCTGATCTTCATTGCTCAGCCCTGTTTAGCTTTCAGGGATTGGCAGCCTCTGTCCAGGATCAAACAACTTGTTCTCTGAATCGGCAGTTCTCCGTGCTGGAGCTACGTCATTCTTAGGTGGCTGACGGCTGCTGGCTCTGAAAGCCCAAGTGAGAGTCTGCCTAGTTCTCCTCTTTGGCCTCAGAATCAGAGAGTCCATATTTGAAGGAACTATTCCTTACCACTGACTCAGTCACAGTAGCATAGGGCACAATTTCAGCTGTAGTTGCAGCGAGTGGTTGGAGGGAAGGGAATAGTTTAAAAAGATCAGACAGCCACTGAGCCAATGGGATATGCCGTTCCGGGATATCAATGGGGCCGCAGGGAAGGAAGGAAAAGCCCTTGAAACATTGAGGGAACTGTTAATGATGTGCTCTGGTGGAGTCTTTTGAGAAGAAAGAGTAAGGAAGGATTTGTTGCACATCAGCTGTGCCTGACTAGTTGCATAAAATAAATCCAAATGTATTTGGATTTTGGAATGTAACTTCATCTAAAACAGCCAAACAACAACCAAAACATCCTAGGTATTGTTTCTGATGAATGACAATCAACTCAAAATGGTTTAGGAAAACATCTAGAATATAATCTATTCTTCCTTAAATGCTTTGCATCTTTCTGTATATATCACAGTTGTCCTTGTAGTTTGCTGCTTTGTTTTAATGGGAATAACTATCCAGTCACAGAGAACTTTAAATTCTAAAATCCTCTGGTGCTCAATTAACCTAATCTTGGGAAATTGTTTCAAAGCCCCAATTTGAAAATGAATTCCCTGGGCATCAACAGCCTGTAAAAGTAGCTGAGAACCCCAACTCTTTCTTCCTTCCCTTTTCCTTGGCGTTTCTGATACATCATAATCCCTTGCAACGGGTGCCTATTTTGACCAAAAGGATCTTGGTTTTTATTTCAACTATGATGTAATTAATTACCATGATTTTGTGTGTTGGACTGTGAGGAGTTCTGAATGGTACAAATTAAAAGGAAGAAAATAGAGGCCTCAAGTAACAATTTTGGAGACGGTTGCCACAAGTATCAGAGATCATTAGAAGAATCACTTCTGGTCAAAAATAAGCTGATAGTTTCCTGGTATAATGGATAATATCAGCAAGCAGAATCTTATATACTTTAAGTATGTGATGTAAAGAAATAATTATGTTTGACTAGACCGGGGGGGGGTGTCAAACTCGCGGCGTCATGTGACGTATCGGGACTTTCCCCCCCTTCGTTAAACCGGGCAGGAACGGGGCAGCACGCGACACAACCGGCCCGCAGGCCATCAGTTTGACACCTCTGGACTAGATCAAGGGAAATGCAAGGAGCAGAAGACAGTGGGGGATGCGTTGGATCAAAGGAGCTAGTAGAATATCCTTGGAAGGCCACTTAATAGTTACAAGATCAAAATTTTATGCATTTATCTTAAAGGTCATCTAAACTTGACTCGGTATCACTTAAGCGATTGTATGGGGATAGCTGTTACAGTGTGGCAACACAAGCATGACAATTGGGGATATTAACACCACTCCTAGTAAATTCTTCAATAAAATTCAGATAGTTTTCTTATTAAAAGATTATCTATTTTAAAAACAAGAGGCTGGTAAACTGGCATCTTTCATGCTCAATACCTACACTTCACAATTTATTTGCTATTTTGCAATATTTTTATGTTTACCTAGGTTATTTTTATATAATCAGGCATTTTAATCTACATTAATTGTTCAGTCTTTCTAACAGTTCTTTTTCCTGGTTAAAAAATAAGAATTGTTCACAAACATGCAAAAACAGTTTAGCTACCTCAGTTTATTTTTGTATAAAAAAAACCTCCGTGTTTTGTTAAGTAGAAGCAGATTAGACTTTCCCGCGCATTGGGAAGAGCAACTTGCTTCAGGGGCATCGAATGAGAAGAAAATATCGGTGTTATATATATATATATATTGGTGCTGGGATGAGGGAGCTGCTTTTTGGGTGCACTTTAGGCAATGAAGTGATTTTAGTCTATATTTCATAAAATATCTGCATAGAAGTCTCCAGCTAGACACTCGGCTCAACTTTTATGCATTTGGCAATGAATTCCCGAATGCAGAAGCAGTTTGAAAAGTAGACCTTTCGTATTATTGATTCTGCTCTGGGCATTTTTTAAATGGCTGCTTTCAGTTTCAAGAAAAATTCTTGGGTGATGTTGCACACAAAGAAAGGCGACTTTTGTGCTTTTCAGTAGATTAAAAATGTCTTCAATTGACAAAGTAGTGGAATGCTAGAAACAACATAGGACCTATTTATTATTTATAAATTACTCGGGGGTGAGGAGTGGTGTAAATATGTTAGGCACACATCCCAACTTTTTTCACAGGGTATAGGTGATAAGAGAGAAAGAGATTATACTTTTAATGAAAGGAATGGTTTATTTTCTGACTCTTCAACTAAAAAAACAACAACTCAATAATGAGAAGACAGGGAGACCCTTCTGGCAAACCCAAGTTTTGGCTGACTGGTTGCTGCATTATGTATGAGAAATTGCGCATCTCAGGATGGAACATTTGCTGATTTGTCAAAAACGCAAACACGAGCACTTGCTCATCTTCTTGACATACCAGTTCATCCAACAGAAAACACTGTCACACACTTTTAATTGATGAGTACCCGTTCTTATGAATCAGACAGCTTGCTTTGGTTACTATTATTGTTTTATTGTGTTATATTGTTATTAAGCACTTATTCACCCAGGAGAAAAGTACAAAGAATTAGCAGTCATTCCTAAAAACAGAACTCCCAAGAATCGCTATTTTCTGGAAGGAAAGATAAGGGAGATTTTTTTAAAGAAATAAATAAGGTAAAAAGGCTGAAATCTAATATAATTTTAATTTGCAATTAATAAAAAGTAAGAACTAACTTCTGGTAATATTCCAAAGATACACTGGCATGTATCATTTTAAGAATCATAATGATTCTGTAAATAGCAATATTTATGATATTTAGGACATATTCTTGCAGACATAAATGTATTTAACCCTGCCTCACATTGACACATTTACATTTAAAAATCATGTATTCATGCTTTTGTATTCTGCAACTATACAGTTTGCTAAGACTTAGCATTTAAGGTGCCACAAACCTTAAACAGATACATGTTTATATTAAGAAACAGATTTTGAAATATAATATATATTAGACACTAATTGCTATAAAATATATTCTTTATACATACCACGTGCATACACAATTTTATTTGGAACTTTGATTACAATAATAAAACCTAGCAAAACTAAAAGAAAGAAAAAAGGATGAAAAGGAAGAATAAAAACTGCAGGGAGAAAGAAAATAAAAAGGAGAATATAATAAGAGTATATACATACATACATACATACATACATGCATGCATACATACATACATGCATACATGCATACATTCAAATTCCCATTACTACATGTAAAGGTAGACCTTGACTTGTGAACAACCAGTTGAAGTTAAGGCAGGAGGCCTATTCCAAATTTATCCGGACCCTTAACCCATTTATAACTTCGTTAGATCAAAATGATATTTAGCATTTTGTTTATTTCAAATTCTATAAGGTTATACAATAATTAATTTTTCTTTTCTTTAGAGTTGGAGATAAACTTACCTTATAAAGGCCTTTCAGGTTTGTTAAAAGGTTAATAAGCAATTTCTAAAAGTGATTAGAAAGTGAGATTTTAAAAGTCTTCTCTGCGATTGCTAATCCCATCAACTCCTTGCGCTCAAACTCAAAGAAAATTAATGTTCTTGGTCCTTGCAAGGAGCAATCATCCAGAGCGCATAAGGGTGGTCTCCGGACCTCTCCTTCCTCTCTATGGAGAGGTTCCAAACAAGTGGTATCCTCACCAGACGCTCGGCCTTTGCCACGGTCATCAGCTCTGCTTTCTCACAACAACCCATCTTCACTTCACCAAACCTCCCCTGGAAGCCCCTTCCGTTTACTCTGCCGCAAGAATGTGTTGGTTTATTCTAGTTTTTTATCCGTGTGTGGATTTTATTTATTTGTGTGCATTGCTGATTTTGTTTTTGTTTTCCACAGGCCCTGGGCAGCTTTTACTTTCTACATGAATCCTTGAAAAATATTTACCAATTTGACTTTAAAGGTATGGAACACCAACAGTGCTTCAATCCTTTACATATTCAACAGGGAAGCGATTTCCATTGACTTGAGTGATGCTTTTGACCAAAAATATTTGGAGAGTTATATTATTAATTTTTCACATTAGAAGAAGCATCCTTAGAGTTTTAAGAGCTTTTATCCATTGAAAACAGCAAATGTGAGTTTGTGTGATGAAATGTGCCCCTGCAGGAACTAAGGGAGGGAGTTTTGGCAACACTGAGCTGGATTAAGAGTCTGTGCAGAGCCAAGCTGGAAGGAGAAGGGAGGGAAGAGGTTCAGGGTAGCCATATCCTAGAATCTCTCAGGATTTATCTCGTAAACTAGAAAGTTATAGATTTATTTTACCAAGATTCTGTCCACTAAAGGTAAGCAAATCAAGCATTGGACTTAATTGGGTTTTACTCTGTAAAACCTGTTGGCTTTGGCACAACCGTCTGCCACTTGTGTACACTTGACAGCTTTAGCCAATCTTAGTCTGCTGATCAGGACATTTGGAGTGTTCAGATCATTTCATCGGCCAATCGGATACAGAATTGCAAGTGTTGAATTTATCTTAGTCATCAGCCATGAAAGTTTATTGGATGATTTATGTTCTTTTACGGGCTGTATTGCCCTTAGACAGATTTCTTTTTATTACTGCTGCTTAATGCTCACTGACTTACTTTAGGCACCAGAAAAAGGATTTTAAGTGCCAATGACAATATTATTAAAGGACAATTAATTGTACATTTGATCTAGAGCCTTGGTGGCTCACTGCTTAAAATACAGCATTGCAGGCTAACTCTGGCCACAATCTGAAGTTCAATCCTGACGGGATGAAGGTTGACTCAGCCTTCCATCCTTCTGAGGTCGATAAAATGAGGACCCAGATTGTTGGGGGCAATATGCCAACTCTGCTTAGAGAGAGCTGTAAAGCACTGTGAAGCAGTATATAAGTCTTAAATCAGGGGTCTGCAACCTTAAATACTCAAAAGCCATTTGGACCCGTTTCCCACAGAAAACACCAGGAGCCACAAAACCTGGTTCGGCGTGGCCAACTCAACGTCCCTCCCACCCAGTGACATGACCCCCCCCCCCAGCAATGCCTACCCGGTGTTTTCTGTGGGAAATGGGTCACCCTCCCTCTCTCTTTCTCTCTTCCTCTCCCTCCCTCTCATTTCTGCTTTTCTCTCTTCCTCTCCCTCTCTCTCTTCTTTCTTTTTCTTCCTTTCTCCCCCTTCTTTCTCTCATTTGTTTCCCTCTCTTTTTCCTCTGTCTCATTCTCTCCCTCCACCTCTCTGTCATCTCCCTCTCTCTCCCCTACCATACTTTGGCCTTTTGCAAAGAATGCGCTCTGAATATAAATGGTTGGATATATTTCATTTTTCAAAACTACGAAACATCCTTTGGCTGGAATCATGCATTTTAAGATACCTTTTAGTTTAGGTTCCTCATCCCCAATTCTGTGATGAACAAAATTTAGTGTCACTAAGTTAATTCTTTCAAAAACATAATACACAGTTTTTGTGAGCATCTGGTAGAGTCTGACAGTTTGAAATATGGAGTTACTGTAGAATATGAGAGTTTATACATGGAAACTTCCATAGTAAAGATGAAATTTAAATCCTCATTTATATCCACTAAGTCTACGAACGTTCTGCATGATGGGGGTTAAATGAAAACTCCTGATGAATTAAGGAGAATATCAGTCTACCAAAAAGGAACAGAATATTATCCATTGAGGACTCTGTGCATCTTGTTTGTAGTATTGTAGAAATATTAATATAACAACATTTATCACTATCAACATGAAATGCAAAAAAAGAATTATTTCATTTTGATTACTTTTTAAACGCATGTTTCAAGTGAATTTTTTTGGAGGCATCTTAATTTGTTTCCTTGGATGTTTATTACTTATCAGTTCCTTAAATTAGTATATTTGTTTTCTTATACTGGCCATATTAAAACTGATATTCTAAATTTTCTTATTCCCTCTCAGCTAAGAAATACAAAAAAGTTACGGGGAAAGAGATCTATTCAGATACATTAGAAAGTACGCCGATGCTGGAAAAAGAAAAGTTCCCACAGGATTATTTCCCTGAGGTAAAATATAGACAAACAGCAATATTTGAAAATGAAGATGTGACACATTTTGATTGCTTTGAATTTATTCATTTAATTGGAATCATTTTTGAATCCTGATATAAAGAAAAGTATAGTCTTATCAGTAGTTTTCCTTTTCTTTTGTTTACTAAAAGCTTGGGGAGAATTTCTTATTTATCTCTTATATATTTTATCTATTACATATCTTATATATTTCTATTACAAATCACCCATCTTCCTCACAGAACAACTTTGGATGTTATCACCGAGTTAAAATGCAAAGATTCTGGAGTTGTTTTGAAAACTTGCCCAGGCTCATATTGAATATGAATTCCAAATTTCCTATTTTCAAAATGTGTAGATCTCTGAAGGTCAAACCATCATTTTAAACTGAGTTTTAAATTTTAAAACTACTTCAAAATAAGCGACTATGTCCTGAGACCTTTTGGCTAACACATTCTGAACCCAGGGATTTCTGACTCTGTCAGTTCAAAACATATTACAGTAATCTAATCTAGCTATAATAATATGTGTCACTGAATTACGATTCAGCCAAGCCAGCCAAATATAGTTAATCAATTGGGAAGGATATTTGGCATGATGGTGACTGATCTGGCTTTTTGAACCAGGTGCAATGTTTGTTTGTTTTTCCATTATCAAACACTTTATTTAGATTAATGCAAATACAAATATATACATAAGAAATCTATGTGGCTAATCAATACAGCTTTCAATAGAACTAAATTTCATTGTCTATAAGACTGCTACACTGAAGGATTTATGCAAACTGCACATTTTATATTCTTACCTGAAAGCAAAATGATTTTCAACTTAGCGTTACTATACTGTTGACACCATCTTTTAATGTACCGTTTATGTTCTTTTAGGGGATGCGTTGCCCTTAGTTGAAAACAGATTTCTTTTTATTACTGCTGCTTAAGGGTGATCTAAAAATAATTACAATGATTGAGCCATAATGCAATTCAAAATAATTACAGCCCACTGCTTATAAAAGTAACAAAACTTTCTCTGCTGATTTATTGCTTTTCTTGGCTGCGCATGAGTCTCAAATGATGCCTCTGGGAGTAACACTCCAGATAATGTTAGGTCATTTTTAAGAAAGCAGATTTGTGTCGTCTATCAGGATTGAGTAATTCCCCCCCCTCCCTTCCATAGTGAGAGGTTGGTTGTTATCATAGATCATGGATCCTGCTCAAAGCTCTTGTGAAAGATGAATTAATTTCACTAATGCTTTAATGCAAACCTTTCATAGTAAAGGCTGTATGGCGATAACCTTACTGCCGTCTCTCCTTTCTCAATGATGATTTATGTTGTCTTTTAGTAGATGAAACTGCCTGTATTCACAATCTGTCTCCTGACTAAAGGAATCTTATTAACAGGAAAACTGGAGAGTGACTTAATATTGTATAAGGTGAAAGATGCTGAACTCATTTCTTGTGGCAGAAAAGAAGCTATATATATATATTCTATATTCTAGATAACACATTGCTGATGGTAACAGATAATCTTGTAGTATTTTGATATTTAATGCTTACCTGCAAGATGGCTCTGATTTCCTGAGGAAAATCACTATTTGGAAGAAGTGTCTAGTCATAGTAATACCTGAGGATTGTTTTGATGTGTTTACTAGGGGTATTTTTTGAATGAGGAAGGAATTATCTAATTTCAAGTATTAATTTAAATTGGGACTCTCTTGTTAGCTTTCATTCTGCACCTGAATCAAAAGCTTTCTTTCCAATTAGATTCTGTTTGCCTTTCTGTCTCCCAAAGAGTTTATTATCTTTGAAAATAAAATAGTAAATAAGAACCATATCCAGAAAGGGGAAACATACTGCAGACATCAACAGTGAGTACCTGGAGTGGTCATATACCATATTTTTCGCTCCATAAGATGCACCCTCCCCCAAAAAAGTGGGTGGAAATGTCTGTGTGTCTTATGGAGTAAATATTGCATCATAGACCATGAAGTGTGTTACTTCAGGGGTCCTCAATGGTGGACCAGTGCCGATCCTTTTGTGAATAGCAGCCAGTCTGTGGGGGCGGGGTCCTTTTACAGTGCTGACCCGTGCCTCTTCTGTCTTTGTCATTGCCCGCTTCTTCTGTCTCTTTTCCGCAGTGCAGGAGTCAATAGGCAGAGGGGGCACATGAAGGGACACCTATTTGTGGTCATCTCAGGCTCCACCCCCTGCCCTCACTACACTGCTGCTCCATATTCAGCGCTCCATATTCACAGTGAGACAGCGCTCCGTATTCATATATTTTTCTTGTTTTCCTCCTCTAAACCTAGGTGCATCTTATGGTCAGGTGCGCCTTATAGTGCGAAAAATACAATAATTTCTCACATCAAAGACTCACATAAATGTTTATTTGGTTTATATCCCCACCCTTCAAAAGCACCAAGGTTCTCGCTTTCCTTCAGAACCTCCCAAGCAGCATGCATAACTATTTCTCCTCACAGCGATTCTGTGAGAAAGGCTGGGCTTGTAATAATCCTGTAAATTTCCAGAGGGGGGATTAGAATTTAGATCTTTCTGCTTCTAGACACATTCATTTCCAAAGAAGTACTTTCAAAATGCCCCAAATCTCATGATCACGTGAGATGTTCATTGTAAGTAAGATTTAAGAAATGTCATGAGATTTTTGGTGTCAGAAAGCTGAGTCTCCAGATTTAGCAATCTTGTGAAATTTCAGCCTTCTGTGAAAAATGATTTGTTATATATGCGTCTATAACATGGTAGAATATGATATCTTGCTAAAAAAAATGCTGAACCCAGCAGAATACTTTAAGACAGAATTCCCTGCAATGTTTTGGACCTTATCCTATAATGTGCTAGCATTTATCCGTGAACTGGCTGAATTTCATGAAAGTTATACATCAAATATTTATTTTAGCTTACGTATTCTAGGTCTTCAGAGTGAGGTTTTACATGTCAAAACTGTATTTTTTAAAATGAATTCAAAATTAATTTGAATTCAATTTGCTTTGCTATTTTTGCATATTATTCATTATCACTTTAATAGAACCACCTTAAAACTATATCAAATTTTGTCAGGCAGCCATCAGAATTCAAAGCAATATGGCATAAAATTGCATTTATAAGAATTGCATTGATGAGAAATGCCTCTTTAGAGCAAATTAAAATTTGTTCAGTTAGTATTGTTTCTGTTTTGCTGACTAATTTAGGAACTGCCAAATTAAGGTTACTTCTGTCTTCTACCCTGGACATGTAGGGTGGGTTCATTCTGTAGACACAAATTTTGATTAGTTGCTTGCAACTTATTTTCAATACTGCTGAAAATACTCTACATTAATATCATTTTGAACTAATGGTTTGTTGGGATTTGACCTTTAAAAAAAAGATAACCTGTCTTTGAGAAAGGGGCAAAAATAATTATTGCTCCTTGATATTTCATCATATTTAGCTTTTTAAAAGAGACTAGCATTTTTACCCTAATTTAATCAGTTGGGTGACATGCAGAATTAATGTTAGGTATAATCCAATTCAAAATTGAAACAGTGAATCAGTTACATCCTCATTTCCAGTTGTTGGCATTGGGAGACAAGAACAGCAACGTTGTATTTCATTTTTAATATTTGGAAAAATATCAAGTAAGGCTAAGGCTTCCCAGTAGAAAGAATTCAACATTGATGCTATGTTAACCGAATGTTATGTAGGTAAGACTCAATTTACGACTAAATAATTTTGTGATCTGTTTTGCTTTTTTAAAAAATAAGAGAAGCCTCTGTTCATTCACTCACATTAATAGCAGCATTTGTGAGAGATCCTTAGTCAAAGATGTTTGAAAAGCGAAAAGAAATATATGGTGTTAATATTTGAAAAAAAGAAAACGTTTGACTGTAATCATTTAAGTGTTATATTTGTCTTTCCTTTTTATGAAATGAATAATTGCTTGTTTGGGGCTCCCTTGTTTGACATAATATGAAGTGCCAAAGACTTTAGAAGAGATACTTTGCCTGTGTATATATATATATATATATATATATATTTCATGGCTACTGTCTATATTAATTTTCTGTTTTTTTATAAATCATTAGGGTTTGAAACCAAAGGAAACCCCAATTGGCAAAGGGAAAGATGTACAGGGATTAATAGCTTTTTTCACCATCCAGCATTATGACACACGGGTCATCTCTGGACTGGATAGTGGTCAAAGTCCCTTCTGAGATGGAAAATTGTAAAACTGTCCCTACTTTCAATGAATAAAACTATGAATAAGCACTATGTTGATACAAAACATATAGCCAACCCAGGATCATCAAAGAACATCCTCAAAACATTTGTCACAAATGTAGGCTGTCTTATGTTGCTGAAAATGTACCTTTAGGACTATACAGGCTTTTGATTGTAAACAAAATGTCCATTTCTAAACAGATATTCCCTCTGGAGAACACAGGGCTATAGACCAGGGATACTCAAACTGCAGCCTGGGGGCCGGATATGGCCCACCGAAGCCATTAATCCGGCGCGTGAGGGACCACTAGGCTGCCCCACCCACATTGCCCTACCTACCCACTGGTCCCCACCTTCTGGAGGCCGAGGAGGCCGAAAATGGGATGCACGGAGGCCTTGGGAGGCCAAAACACAGGCCTGTTTTGGCCTCCCCAGCCTCAAGAAGGAGGCACAGAGACGCACACAAACACACCAAGGCAGCCGTATTCCTTCACTAACCCGTTTTCCACCCCCAGGAGCATAACAAATTAAAGTTTAATTTGTGTGTATTGTTTAATGAACTGCTAAATTGACCACACCCACCCACTCACATGGCTACCTAGCCACACCCACCCAGTCACATGACCACCCAGCCAGTCCAGCCCCACAACAGTCTGAGGGACTGTGAATTGGCCCCCTGTTTAAAAAGTTTGAGGACCCCTGCTATAGACTGTGCTACCAGGCATCTTGATAGTCTAGGACCGTGATGGCAAACCTATGGCATGCGTCACCCCAGCTCAGCTCCACCAACGCATCTGCGCGTGCCTTCTGCCAGCCAGCTGGTTTTGGGGTCTCTGCTGCTCATGCATGGGGGACGGGGTGTATGCGGGAGATGCACATGCATGCAGGGGGGTCAGGGCACATGTGGGGGGGTTGCATGCACATCCAGAGGTGGGTCATGCACACGAGTAATGCACGGAGTGGGGTGCAAATGGGGTCCCACAAACATGCGTGGAGTGGGGGGGCGTCACATGCGCATTGAATTGTGGGTGTTTGACACTCAGCAACAAAAAGCTTAGCCATCAGTGGTCTAGAAAAGGGTTTACAAGGATATGAGAATCTACCAGGAAGGAAGAAGCAGTCCGACTTCATTATGAAGATAGAATTCAGATAGCATTGTTGTAGATTTAGGCCTTAGTTATTACTTATTTTATATATGTTTTTACATATTGTCATTTTAGTTAGGTTGAAGCCAATAAAAACTAAAACTTGCTGCAGTCGGCATTTTTGTTAGAAGGTTATTCCAATTAATTCATAACTGTTTTTTCATAAACTTGGAAATCTTTTCTCTATGCCACCTCAAATATAGGTTGTAACGAGTTGATTTGCTCATGGGATGGGAAATTGCTCATCTTGATGCATGGAATGGCATGTTATAGATATCTTTGCTACTTCAGCCCTCTGGAAAGAGATTGGCAATTTCTATTTTCCAGATACCTATATTACATTATAATTTACAAGGAAAGGCATGTTTATACTCCTACATTCCTACTCAGATAGGCTCTGAGACAATAAATATATTTGACTGGGGAAAATGACTTTGCTAGAAATACTTGCAGTTCATCAGTAGCTTTTTAACCCTTTATCTCTAATATTGAATATATTCCTTCCCATTTGGAGAAAAGGCTAAGTTTGTATATACTTTTCTTTCCCAGGATGTGATTCTGATACATGGGGATACTGGAAAGGGGGAAATGAGATAGGGAAAAATTTGAAGACCACATAATTAGATTGACTAAGTATCATCACATTCTTGTCAATTTTTGTGACCACATAGATAGACTTTCTCTATGTTGATCTGTTCTTCAGCTCTTCCAACAATGCAATCATCATTCCTGTAAGCGAATCCATTATTCTTCCGACTGGTTGTCTTATCCTCTTTCCCTCTTAGAGTCTTCTCCAGAGGCCGCTTATAATCCTGGTATTAGTGTATTAATTAAGCCTCATGTTTTCTCTAGTGTTCTCCATGAAAATAGTTAACACAATGTTTGTAAAACTTACTAGTAGACTCATTTCTTACTGTTTTATATATATTTAATGTATTATTTCTGTGCTTTATATTACTTTTCAGTGCAAGTGGTCCAGAAAAGGATTCATACGAACAAGATGGTGTATTACTGACTGGTATGTAATATGAAGGAGAATTGAACATCAGGTTTTTCATGCATGCCTAGTTATTATAGAAGTCATAGGTTTTGGAATATCAGGTGTATATTCCATCTAAATACTGAACATTATTGGACAAGTTGTAAATGGCATAATATACATATTTGGTTCTGAGTTTATAATTTCCAGTTAATTCTAATGTGTGTATACATCTGATAGTGGAATAATCACGTACATTTAAGTTTCTTTCTCTCATTTGTAATTCCCACCTTTTTTTCAAAATTTTATGAGCAACATTTGAATTTTTGTTTCATTGGCTCATTTTTCCACTTTCATGTAATAGAAAAGACAGCACTTTTCTGCTTTAAGAAATTAGAAAGCCTTCACAAATACTGCCTCAACTGTTTTCTCCCTTACGAAGCTGGGAATCAATACATAAAACCCTTGTTGCCTATCCCCTTTGGGGGGACTTAACTCTTAGAATAGAGAAAATATTAGAAGTAGGCCTAAAATCAAATTTTTCATCTTGGTTTTATCACCATAAAAACACGTAAGTATTTCTCAGTATCTGTCTCCACTGAGAAAGGCATTTTACACCTTTGCTTACAGACTTACTGGCATTCTGATTTCTAGCCTGATATCTTAACCGCTTCTATATGCCAACTTTCTTTCCATCATTCAAATTCTGAAATATTTTTTTTAATTGACTAGATCTCATTTTGACTTTTTTATATCTAACGCTTTACTACTTTGCCATCATATTTTATGTTAGTTTATACTGTTGTGACCTTTGGTTAATTTATTCAGGCTAGTGGTCACATGGAAATCAGGAGGGCTTAAATATTGCCACAATATTGCTACATTGCTTTCTAGAATGGGTATTTTGGGGGTAGAAAAACAATTAGAAGCTTAATCTTTACAGTTTGGGGAGAGAGGGAATTGAAAGTCGATTTAGATGCAAGTCTATAATACTCTGTAGAACAGCAATCCCCAACCTTTTGGGCATGAGGACTGGTTCCATGGAGAAAGGTTTTTCCACAGGCTGGGGGAGGCGAGGTGTGGTTTTGCATGCTGCCTGCATCCCGCAGATGGGCCATCGCTTGTTTGCGCAACCCAATTGTTGGCATACCACGGACCAGTGCTGGTTGAGGACCCTCGCTGTAGAATATATTGCTTTCCTCCAGAGCAGATAAATATGAAGTTTCAGAGTTTTTCTAGACTCCGTTTACCATGATATCTATAATAAAAAGTATGCCAGATTACTATAATATTTTAAAAGAGGTATTGAAGCAGTCAAAACCATTGTAGAAGCTAAACATGTATGTCATGTACCTTTGTTATATAGTGTGTGTTTCCAAACTAATTTAATATACTAATATGTCCTTTTGCAATCCTAAATGGATTGGTACTAGGTTTTCTGAAGGACTATTGTACTTGCACAAACCTGATGAACTTTAAAGCCAACTTCTAAACTTTGCTTTCAAGTTCACAAGTCAGAACTGCATGATGAGTACAATAGGATATTTTCTGTGTACTTTTTTGGAATTACCTTCCAACATCAAGGTACTAGGTTCTGCTTTGTGAATTCTTAAACACTGATTTGTTCTAGTTTGTATTTGGCTATTTTTACTGTGCTATGCTGCTTTATTTTACTTGCTGCTTTTACAATATATGTAGTATATTGATATTTTAAAAGATTGTCATTGTGTATTTCACATTTTTTTATTCTTATTTATATTCTGAGACAATCTTTTTTTTCTCCTTTTGTCACAGTGCCTTTGACTTGGTAAACATTCATCTTTTCCATGATGCTTCCAATTTAGTTGCTTGGGAAACAAGCCCATCTGTTTACTCAGGAATAAGGCATAAGGCCCTTGGTTATGTACTTGACAGGTAAGTAATAGACTTTATTGGATCTTTCTATTGCTCTATCTTATATTTCCAATATGAAAAGTTATTGTGGTGGTGGCAGTGGTGGCTATTGAGACTTTTTTTTTAAAAAAAAAATCTCCATATCCCTGAAGAGCCGAAAGCATAAATGATCAAAAAGCATTTTTTTTAAAAAAAATGTTTAATGTTGAAAACTATGATCAGTATAGTGATCCAGCCCCTTATAAAAATAAATTACTGGAATGTTCTTCTATTTTTCTAACATTGTTAGTCTATGTGGTAAAAATCAGGAATCTAATAACACTTTTTTTCTGATTAACTTATTTTATTTAAAGGTGTAAACTTTAAAAAGGCATAAAAAGCTTGTGGAATTTGTAAAATGTGTTATTTGCAAGTATGGCACTAGACTCCAAATGAGCTGGAATTGTAATATTCATAAACCCCAGTTTATATAGAAATCCTTTTATTTTTGTAGGACCCATCAGTGTTTGATGATTGTAGAATTCAGATATGGTTATAATCAGAAAGGTCGTCAACAAATCCTAGCTAAACTCAAAGAAGCTAAATAGAAATAAACATGGTTAGTGTAATACTTGGCTAAGATATCTCCAGGAAATATCAAGGTTGGAAGATAAATTGAAAAGTCAAGGAAACATCCTGGAAGAAAGAATGGTGAATCAGTTCCATGTTGACACAATGAATTATATTGAAAAGGAATTCAACTTGTGCAAGATTTTTTAAAAATAATATAAGATAATAACATTAAAACAAAGTAGGGTTTTGTGCTTCACTTCTAATAGACTCAATATTTTTGTTCCATAGTTTAATATATCACCACCATTCTGTCCTTGAACATTCCCATTTTATACAGTAAAACTGAATTTGGATTTTTTTTTTTTTTTACTTTCTAAAAATATTAATGATGGGCTAAATTTGTTCATTGTACATAGTTTGGAAAAATTAAAGGGCTTACAGAATAATATAGGATAAAAATATTGTATTCTAATCCTCACTTTCTGGGTAACATAATGCTAAATACAAATTCACTATTTTATTTCCAGCCAACTTTTCATGCTTTCTCATGCCTATTGTTTTATATTCAGAATGAAGAACATTTGGGGAAAAGAAATGTGGATGTTACAATATTAGATTGTCATTTGATTTGATTACTCCTCACCTGGCAAAGGATCCTTGTATAATGTATTGATTGGTACGCTTCAATTTCCCAGTTATTCAAAATTCACGAATTTTCTTTTCCCTAAACTCCCCATCTTAAAAATGGAGCTTCATAAGGTCTTTGTTTTGTTCCTTGCTTTGTTTTAATTATTCTAAAAGTATTTTGATTTCATCCTTATCTGTATGGGCCACTAGTCCCTGTAGTATACTAACATGTGCCAAATGTACTGAGAAAAATATTTGGTGTTCCTTTAGAATTCAGGCATAACTAATCTGGGTAACATGATTGTGAGTCTACTTTTCTTGTTGATATTCTTTGGGGGATAAGATGAAGCTCTACCTGGGCCAGCATTCTTTGCAGTGATCCTAGCAACTAGCAGATAGTAGGTGGTCTAATGAAAATAATTGACCCATTATCCCACTCCATCAAATAGCATGCAGTTATGTGCATAAACTTCAAGGGGAATGAATTAGTTTTTGATGTGGGATTTATTCCCATCTCTTTTGATTGCGATAGTGTTCCAAGGGAACATTTGTATATTACTGGGGTTTGCTGTTTGTTTCCTTTTAATGTTGTCAGGCTTTGGAAGGCTTCCACAAGCATCTTGGTGAAAGTAAGGAAACTGCTCAGTTGCAATAGCGCTAATTGTAGGTCAAATATGTCATGGCAGTATATCATTACAATGTGACACTGCCAGAACCAGACTCGGCTCTCTCCTGCCTTTCAGAAAAGAAAATCTTCAGTTTTAGGTGGCACCATCACAGTGGGTTTGCATTCACATGGATTGCTCATTTTGAGAAAGCAGCCAGCCGCAGATCCGGACCTCCGTAGTGAAACGGTGGGCTTCCCGGCACAAAAGCGACTTCTGTAAGAGCAGTGAATAATGGGAAGCCCCTTTCATCAGGGCTGCTAACCTTTTGGCAGCCACCAGCAAACTCTATTCTGATCTGCTGATGGGGGAGGACAATACACTGAAGCTCCCTTTGAATGAAGGCTACCACCAACAGTGCCCCCATTCAGAGGGTTTTGGGAGCCATCTTGGACTATTGTCTGCCACCACCCCTTCAGACAGTAGCAAAGGGGGAAAGTGAGAGCATCTCTAGGAAAGAAAGTAGCTCTTTTCTTGCCTTTTAATCTCCCTTTAAAGATTCATAGATCCACATTTCCAGCTGAGCTACAGGAGTTATGCAGTGTCAGATAAAGACAGAAGAAAGAAATTTCAAGCTGGGCCTTGAAATCCCCTTATCTGCAGCCTCCAATGATGCAGATTTAGTGCTGTTAAAGCGAGGCTGATAAGTCTTTTCCTCTTTAGCCTTTAAACTGCTAAAGAGCATTTAAGAGCAAAGAGCAGTTCAACTTTCAGGAACAATGCTAAAAAGGAAAAGAGTTTAATGAGCTAAACCCTCACTGAAAGGAAACTGAAACATCTTTTCACATTCGATTTAAGTTCTTGTGGGAGTAAGTAAAACAGTTCCATCAGTGGATGCAAACCCTTGAGCCAGTGTGAATCCCAATTAATTACGCCTGCTTATGCAAGATTGAACTGTGTCATACACTGTGTTCTGCCTCAATTATTTGGAAGAAAAGTAAATTGAAGGGCTTCTTTTTTTAGAGAATGAGAGTTTAAATATTTTAAAAAAAACATATCCAAAAATAGTATATAGTACTGGAGCATTGTAGTTAAGTAAAACAATATTGAAAAGAATAAAAACTATCATGAAAAATGAACCGAATCTATAGCATGCTTTGATTTTCATTAATCAAATGTTCATTTCATTAATGTTGTTTGAAATTGTTTTCTTAGCTGTTCATTAATGGCATGCAGATTTTTTAAGAGTAAACTTATGAACTTTTGTCACATTTAGAGTCATTGTAGTAACTTATAACAAGAATTGCTTTGAGGCCAGTAGTTTCCTCTGAAAATCATTTGTGTTACAAACTTCGTATTTAATGTTCCTAATGAAAATTTAATTGATAAATCTTGTACTTTTTGAAATAGAACAACTATTCTCTAATTAAAGTTGCATAGATACTGATCACTAAGCAGATCATATCCATAGAGAGGAGAAAAACACTAGAAATGTTTAACATAAGGAATTGAATAAGCAGGTCCTTCAATGAAAATTACAGTAACAGGGTGGAAGAAGAGTAATTACAGATAGCTGTGCTTAATATGCCAGTTGTAAAATCAAAATTTATCCCAACATTCTCCTTACCTCCCACCCCCTCAAACCTGACATGGGTCTTCTGTTGTCTCTTCAAAACATAGTTTGGCCTACTTGAACAGAAACATTTTTTTTTACATTACAACTGTGAAATCTTGGCATAAAACCCCCTTTTTGTGATTCCCATTATTTTCTCACAAATATAGTCCATTGTCACATAGCTGAAGTTAATTTGATCAACATTGGGACATTTAACTTTTATGTTCAGTCAAAGGAGCTGTTTCATGCTCATTTTGAGTATTCAAAGGAAATGATTGCCAGAAAAATAATGTTACTATTAACAATTCAAAGCAATTAGTTTTCCCAGGGTGAGGCAATGCGATGCGCAGCCTGCACAGAGCCAAGCTTTGTCATTTTATAGATGCTCATCAGTCAACTGTCACGTCTTCTCAAAGACCCCCCTCTGCTCTCTAAGGGTTCCTTTCGGGGCTTTTCCCAGAACTGGCAAGCAAATGAGCTGGAAAAAAAAGCCTACTTTGTTTCTAGGCAAACTTTGTGTGAATGATCCCGGTCACTGGAGGAGCCTGAGCGCTTGGCATATTTGTAAATACTAGTTTACTCTTGCTATTTAAACATATATTTTTCCAATAAACAGAACACTGTTGCTTTTGACAGCCATTATAAAAAATAACGTCGTTTTAGTTTTAAACCAACTGAATCTACAACTATTGTGAACATTAAAATGGATGGGTAGGTGGGTGGATGGATGGATGGATGGATGGAGAGACAGACAGACAGGCATTGCTGGGACAATGGAAAAAAGGAGCGATCTTATACTAAAACTGTGCGTGAGTTTGGTTACATTTGCATCTGTGCTGTGAGGGAAGATGGATTATGATTCCCAGACTCCCTCTGACATTTCTGACATTCCTTCTTGTGGGTAAAATACTCTCTTCTGCAACTTTTTCCAAACTAGGCACACATTTGTATACATATAAATTGCAAATGGATGTAATACTGACATGTCAAATGTTGACATGTTTCTTAAAATATAGTGACTAGAACAGTGAAAGAGTGAACCTTTTAGGCACCGCGCCTAACCTGCAAGGTGTGTGTGCGTATGCACCCCGCACATGCATGGGCACCCCACCCAACCTGCAAGGTGTGGGCGCATGCGCAGCAGAGACCCAAAAACCAATTGGCTAGTGGGAGGTGCGCGCACTTGAGCAGCAAAGAACTGAAACAGAGCTGGGGAGACGGCATGCGTTCCCACTGAGAGGGCTCTGCGTGCCAACTCTGCCACGTGTGCCACAGGTTCGCCACCACTGAACTAAAAAATATTAAAATTGTTCCTTCAAGTTATTTTTTGACTCCTAGCCATGTTTTCTAGCAGTTTTCAGGTAAAGTCTGCCATTGCCTGCTCCCTAAGGCCAAAGATGGAATGACCAAGGGTCCAAGGTCATTTACTTCACTTCCCACCTAATTGTATTAAATTGTCTTTAAATTAGAAAACCATTTTTGCATAGTTTATAAAATTGAAGCTTATTTGGTTGTTGTTGTTTTTAGTTAACTTTGAACTGGAGATTCAGCATTGATTTTACTACATTGCAGATTATTAGAATTATGGTTAATGAAGAACCATACAATCCAAATATTCCATA